TTTCAATTTTTCGATGTTTTTCGTCGCATTGTGATGACGTCACATACGCGCTTTCGTCAACCGCGATTTTGTCGTCCGCGGTTTTGTGGTGGAACCAGTGAACAATGCATTCGCTTAATGACTGCTGCAACAAAAAGTTGTAAAATTGAGCCTTTTGTATGATGATCCACTTCACAAGCATCGCAACGTTATGAGCAAGCTCTATTTCTGTTCATAACTCAAGGCTACCTGCACATATACTTGCAAATCATGAATATAAGCTAAACAGAAAAACATGAAGTCTCCCACCATGCAAAGAGATCGTGAGCTGGAACCTCTTTAAGCCCACCTCCCACAATCGGGGCTGGAACCAATATCTTCCCGATGTATTGATTTCAATTCCTGGAATTCTTAGCCAGCACATAGTTTACTAAAATCCCCTTCCAAGAGGGCAAAGCATCCCCAAGGGAAATGGCATCAATGGTGAAATGACATCATTCCACACACACAAAAAAGCAACAGGAATGTCACCCATGAATGACACGAGGCCTCATCCTCGCCAGTGCTGAACACCAAATTGGAGATGGTTATAAGAGTAAAAGTAAAGATTTCCCCTGTCCACTTGTTACCAATTTGGGGTGGGGAGGCAGTACTCCTCTACATTTGTCAGCTGAGGGAGCCAGGATTGTCCAAAGACCCTTTCTGTGGTCATGTGGCCAGCATGAGCACAGTGGTGCAGTGGTTAGAGTGCAGTACTGCAGGCTCCTGCTGATCACCGGCTGCCAGCAGTCTGGCAGATCGAATCTCACCAGGCTCAAGGTTGACTCTGCCTTCCATCCTTCCAAGGAGGGTAAAATGAGGACCCAAGTTGTTGGGGGCAAAAGGCTGACTCTGTAAACCACTTAGAGAGGGCTGTAAAGCACTGTGAAGGGGTATATAAGTCTTAAGTGCTACTGCTATAATTATATGCTGAGGCACATGGAAAAAGTGGTGCCTATTTATCTAGGTACCACTAGAGAAATGTGGGAAATGTGGCTTCTCTTTAAGTTATATCAAGTCAGCTCAGCATGTGACTACCAAGCTGAGGTACCAACTACTACTGTGCAGCCTCAACCAAACTTCCAAGGCTATCTAGGAACTTTGCCTCCAGCCACACCTGAACTGGAAGCGAGGGACGTTTCCTCTACCTGTTCAATGGACAAAGCAGATGATTTATTTCCTTGCAGGTTTATCTGGGAAACTGGGAAGTGACTTATTATCTCCTCTGCTGCAAATGTTTGGGAACTCCTGCACCAGAAACTACAACAGAGAAGTGCCTAACTAACTCTGTTATAGATACTTTCATAGTCCCATTTCATCTCTTCACCCACTCCAGAACTGGCTCTCTTATTTGGAAAGGAAAATTTACTTGTGTGGATGTATGTGTTTTAATTTTTTCTGGTCATTGACAAGACTAGTCCTCAAGATGACATGCAAAATAAAATACTTTTTAGAAACACACCAGAAAAAGCTATTTGGGTAAAACCAAAATGATAAGGCTTCAGGGCACCAGGTGTATTTTGTGCTTCATGAAGTGTAACTCAGTTTTTACACAGTGAGGTCTATTGTCTCTCTGCCTATACATAGGTTATTAGTAATTTCGAAAAGCAAATGCTCTGGATACATTTTAGTAAGTTAAACACTACCAAGGGGCGGGGAGGGAGAAGGAAAACACAAGCTGCCTTGATGCAGCCCTATCAAAGCGAAAGGTAGAGAAGCGCGCTCTGCACATGCTTCAGAGCGCTCTTTTCCCTGTCCACCACGCCCCCCCCCCGGGGCCGAAGATAAAAAGGGGCGCAGGACCAGCTCCCTCGTCCTTCTCTTGGGAGAAAAAGGAGGCTCTGAGGCTGCCTCATCCTCGATCAGCTGCCGGGGCGGAGGAGGAAGCGGGCTTGTCCCCGCCTGGGCCAGCCCAGCCCGCCGCATCACCTGAAGCAGGACGCCCGGGGAGGGGCCGGCCGGCTGGTGCGCACCCCGAGCAGCACGGCGACGGATGGCGGCGAGCAAAGCGAGAAGACGCTCCAGGGCGCCCCGCTAAGAGTCCTGCCCAGGAGAAGGTGAGTGGGCGCCGCGGATCGGGGCAGGGGAGGGCCGGGCATCCCCGAGGACGGCGGGGTCAGAGGGGCCAGCCGGGAAGCGTGCCCACCTCCTCCGAGGACCGAGGGGCACCGCGGTTGTCGAAACGCTCAGCCGCTCGCTGCCCGTGTGGAGCTGCCTCCCGGCGTGGCTCCACGCCTCTCCATTCTCCGCCGCCCCTTTGCTGGTGGGTTTCCCGGAAAAGGGGCGCGGGAGCAGCGGGACCTGAGAGGCTCCCCGGTGCTGGGCTGGCGAGGCCGATGGTCCTGCCTTCTGCGAGGGGTGCTGGGAGCGCGGACACCCCGCTGCCGCCCTTCTCCATCTGGGTCCCTCAGGTGGGTCGGAGGACGTTGCGATCCTTATTTGGAATTCCCGGAGGACTTTGGACTGCGACTCCCAACACCTGCAGGCTCCCACTGAAGAAAGCTTTACACAGGCTTCTACACCCAGGCACCCCGGGAATAAATAAAGGCCCCGCCGCTTTCCCAAATCTTTGAAAGCGGATCCCCGAAAGAGACCCTCCGCTGAGCCCGTTGGTTCTCCGCCAGTGTTTTGGTTTCCCTCGGTCTTGCGTAGCGCAAAATCATTAGGCAAATTGGACGCCGATTAAAACTGTTCCTCCTTCTTCGAATCTGAATTCTTCCCTCGGTGCAGGTCGCGGCTTTCGGAGAGGTTGGGGTGGCCTTAAAGCGCCCAACGGCGTCCTTAAGACTCCCCCTTCCTCTCTCTCTCACACACACACACTTTGTCTTTCTCTCACAGTCTCTCTCACACACAGTCTCTCTCTCTCTCTCTCTCTCTCTCTCTCAGACACACACACACACACTGTCTTTCTCACTCACACCCTCTCTCACACACAGTCTCTCTCACGCAGTCACACACACACAGTCTCTCTCACACAGTCTCTCTCTCTCAGACACACACACACACTGTCTTTCTCCCTCACACACTCTCACACACAGACTCTCTCTCTTTCTCTCTCTCTCTCTCTCAGACACACACACACACACTGTCTTTCTCACTCACACTCTCTCACACACAGTCTCTCTCTCTTTCTCTCTCTCTCTCTCTCAGACACACACACACACACTGTCTTTCTCACTCACACCCTCTCTCACACACAGTCTCTCTCACGCAGTCACACACACACAGTCTCTCTCACACAGTCTCTCTCTCAGACACACACACACACACTGTCTTTCTCACTCACACTCTCTCACACACAGTCTCTCTCTCTCTCACACACACACACAGTCTCTCTCTCACACACAAAGTCTCTCTCACACACAGTCTCTTCTTTCTCTCATTCTCTCTCTCTCTCTCTCTCTCACACACACACACACACACAAACACACACACACACACACACACACGCACACACAAACACAGGCTTATAGTCTTAAAGGAAGGAGGTGATTTAAAAATTGGAATTTCTGTAGGAAGTGAAAGCCAAAAGTACTCTTTGACTAGCTGGCTGGGTTAATTATCCACACACATACCCCTTTCTGGAGTGGACAGAATTGCTTTCCTTGGGAGTTAGGGTTTTGTCACCTTGTTTGAGAACTTTTCCAAGTGGGTATTGATATGATTTAAGTAACTAAACCAGATAAGGCCCACAACTTAGTTGTGAGCAAAGATATAGAAAATTAAGTCCCCCCCCCCCCGAATAAAGCGGAGTACAGATTTTAAATTTAAGAAGGGGAGATGCGCAGCAGCCACTGACCTAGGAAAGAGTATACTTTTTATGGGGCGGGGGTTGCAGTGTTTAAAGCATTTTATCAATATTAATCTGAATTGTTAAGGCAGCCTTTGTATGACGTGTCAATAATTATTTTCTTACTATTAATCGGTACCTATGGCTTACATTTACATAGTGTGAGATTAATGTGGGGTTATAGTTCTATAGCCTTTATTGTCATTGTACATCATGTATAGAACAAAATTGGTTAGAGAAACACCAAATAAAGATTTACATTAATAATAGATACTTAAGCAGTTTGTTTTTCCTTTAAGCCTGAGAGCTGTAGGGTTTTTTAAAGATAGTTTTTAAATAAATTAAAATGACCAGGTCACTAAAACCTTCAGTGGCTTTGTAGAAGGAACTATTTCATCTAATGTGGTCTGAGTTAGGTAAATTGTGTGCACAATAAAATAAATGACTTAATTTTTAGGGGGGGAATTAAAAAAAAGAGAGCTATTTTTAAAAAACCATCTCTTTCATGGATCAAACAGGCTGGAACAGTGGTGCAAATAAAGAACTGGCTGGAATGCCACACGTCTCCTGGGCACCAAGTTAAAGGAGATACAACTAGCAGAAATCTCGGCAGAATTAGAATTTGGCCATTTATGTCTTTTAGAGCAGGGGTCTCCAAACTCGGCAACTTTTAAGATTTGTGGACTTCAACTCCCAGAGTTCCTCAGCCAGCAAAGCTTCAACTGGAAGTTGAAGTCCACAAGTCTTAAAAGTTGCCGAGGTTGGAGATTCCTGTTTTACAATCAGCCCAGCACTGTCATTTCGACACTGGTGATTTACAACCTCATTCAGCAATTTAGAGAGATTTAGAATCCCTCTCCTGGTGATAGATTGCGGTGGAGATGAGTCGAGGATGCTGTAACTTATTGCCGGGGAAATGGCCTATGACATCCTCGCCTTCACTCTGAAAAAATGACTTGTCAGTTTGAATTAGGGCAGCAATTCCGTTCTACGTTGTCATGATGACACAGAGGATCTCTAAATACACTTGGAGTGTTTTTCCTTTATCGTCGAGCAACTGAACTCTCTTCAGTCACTTTTCAGTACCTTCTACATCTTTGGAAAGTGCTATTTGTGTATTTATTTATTTATTTGACCTATCTGCCCCTCTTCTCTTGCCTAGAGAGACTTTAGACAGCTTACAATCAATAAAAAGCATGATAAGACGCTAAAACAGAAAATAGTCACAGTATGTTGGATTAAAAATTGACAAAGATGCGGAGGAAGGGAGCAAAATGCACATAGAGAGGAGGTGGGGGTGGGGTCTTATCTTAATCCTCTAGAATGAACCTCAGACCAATTGGTGGAGCCAGCTGCTCAGACACTTTCGCAAGGCCAAGAAGGTAGGGTTGGATTTCACCTGGGGGATACATGATGTTCTGGAGGGCAGGAGCAATGCAATGGTGGGTTCGGATCCCAGTCCAACCGGTACGGTTGAAACGGCCTGGCGTCATCCACATGGATGCGCACAGCACGCACAGGCGTCTTACTGTCCAGTGACGCCTCTGTGAGCCTCCGCAACATTCCAGATGCTCAGTGTTGCGCAGAAGCTGTACGTGCCATGTGCGTGCTCAGAAACACCGAAGACTTTAAAGACAGGAAAGGAGCGAGGGTGGGTGGGTGGGCCCTCCAGAGCACCCTACCGGAACGGTACCCAGGCAGACTCCAGTACGCCTGTATTGCAGCATACCCCCTGCAACCCACCACTGGAGCAATGTGATTGTACTCAGCTGGTGGTCATTAGGCTCCTCTCCAGACTATAAAAAGACTCCTTGTGCACACAGCCCTCTTTGCAGAAGTCAACGCAGGAACTAATGTCGGAGAACATTATGGTGAGCTTGGCAGGCTGGATTGCTGCCAAGCCTTATCTGTGCCGGTTTGCTGCCAAGGACCTGTCTATCTGTTAATTAAATGCCGTAACTTATCTTTGGCTCGGAGTGTGTGTTTTGGTGTGGGGTGAGGGGGGGTCAGAACAGTTGGGTAATGCAACATTTGCAAAGAAATAACCAAGCACAGAAGCTCCAAGCGCAGAAAAGGGTCTCCTAGAACTGTCATGGCGAACCTATGGCACGTATGCCCAAAGTGGCACACGGAGCCATGTCGCCCGTTCCTCTTCCGGGTTTCTGGCATGCATGCACAAGCAACAATCAGCTGACCTTTGTGGCAGTGCTGGAGACTGGAAGAGCTGGTCTTCTGTTTTCTGGTGTGAACATGTGCGCCGGCCAGCTGATTGTCATATGAACATGTGCGCCAGTAACTGGAAGACTTGCTGGCCGGCAAATGTGTGCACCGGAAACTGGAAGTTCATTTTCCAGCATGCGCATGCCCCCTGGGCAGCTCCTCTTCTGGGTCACGGCCCAGACGAGCGTTCACACGCTCCCTTTTCAGCACTCAGTGCCAAAAAGATGCACCATCACTGCTCTATGCTGATGACATGTTTAACTCCACCTCCTAGTTCTGCCCGCTCTCCTCCTACAAGTTTTTGCTTTTCATATTGTTGATTCAGTTCTTCTTTTTATCCTGGTGCAAGTAAAAAAACAACAGCGGGCATATTTTTGTTGCCAGGTCTATGCCTAAGGGCTATTTAATCAATGTAAAGTGACAGTTATACTTTGAAAATGTCAACATTCAGACACTTTGAGTGTTTGCTTTGCTGAAGAAGATAAATATTCTTCTCTGTATACTTGGCGTGTTTCATAGAGCAGCCTTTCAAAAGCTTTGGCCTTAATGACATTTTTAGCCCTTGATCTCTTCACACAAAATGCCACATCTAGTTTTTCCATCACGTATTTCCTCGCTTCCTTCTAGTTGCCTTGTTTATAGGGGAGAAGCCATACAGGTCGTCCTCAACTTACAACCAATTGGGACTAGAATTTCCATTGCCAAGAGAGACCGTTATTAAGTAAGTGGTGTGCCCAATGTTACAATACTTTTTGCCATGCTTGTTATACAAATCATTGCAGTTGTTAAGTGAAGCATGCAGTTGGCTGTTAAGCAAATCCAACTTCTCCCGTTGACTTTGCTTGTTGGAAAATAGCTGGGAAGGTCACAAATGAAGACCATGTGACTCTGGGATGTTGCAACCTTCATAATCTCCCGAATCTGTAGTTGACCATGGACAAGTGCAAGAATTGCTTGTAAGTTACTTTCTATAGTGCCATGGTAACTCCAAATGGTTGCTAAAGAAATGATAGTAAGTTGAAGGCTACCTATTGTTAAGCCACAGAG